AGTGGTGAGCATTAATTAGAGACATCACCACGGCTCTTCCTTCATATGTACGTGTACTGTTGGCTTGTGATATGTACAGTACAGTTATAATTATTTCATAGAAATATTTAATAATAATAATAATTACAATAATAAGATAATGTAATAACACAGCAATTAATTTTCATAATAATAATAATAATAATAATAATAATAAACAGAAACAAAAATTGGTTTTATGAATTGTATTGTGCAATACAAGAAATAATTATAATTCATCACTCAGTTATTGCCTTTAGTTCTGTGGGGAGGTACAGTTGGAGGTAGTATATAATATATGTCACTATCGTCTGTTCTGCTGGGTGTGGTTGGGGGTGTGGTGACCTTGTCTATTAACGCAAGACTTTTCCTAATGGAACAAAACAAATAATTTAACTATCAATCACTACGTGTATGTGTGACGTTTGGTCTTATTGTGATGCTTGTCACCAAAGCGTGTAATTTAATTTAAATTTGCTGTCTCCCATTTATGCATTCATTGGCCCAACAAACTGGCAGCTGCTATAAGCAAAATAATATCAAAAAAATGAGACGCTTGTATGAATTTTATTTGTTTACAAATAGCTTTGTTGGCAGTTAGCAATCTTGTACACAAACAATAATAACCAGGTATACAAAAGTTGTATTACAATTAAAATGCATTGGACACAATTATTTGACTCATTTTAAGAAATTATTTTATAATAATGCATATATTCTAGTATAATCATAATTCAATCACGTATTACCTTGGTGATACTGGTGGAGGTAATCTTTGCTGAGGACTCATGTTGGGCAGTATTGGTAAGTATACCTCATCGCTCTCTTTTCTGACTGAGTTTGTGGTAGAGAGAGGAGGGAGCGATGTGGCTTGGCCGAGGTTTTTGTGACGCCTTGAAGGTACTGGAGGTTCTACCCATTCCAAATGTGAATCACTACTCTCTTCCATACCTGTGTGTATGTGTGTGTGTGTGTTGGGATTATAATATAGTTATCAATTCTCATTTATAGTATACAGTATGTAAAATCAGGTACTATTATAGTGTAAGAGTGTGTGGTGGTGTTTTTAGTCAATAAGGATGCACCAGTGAATGTGAAATAAATAAACTTCAATAGGCCTACTGTACACATGCTGATATGTTATCATTACACAGCCCAATAAAGACTACAGCATTCTCCAATGGCCCAATAAAGGCAATGAAATAGCTAGCATTAATTCATGCATTAATTACTTTTTCCACTAGAAGTGATACCATTAGCTTCTAGGTCCACATAAACTGTAGGATCTCTTTGATACACAGCAGCACTGCTACCGTTGTCTTCTTCCTCATTTTCTTCATTAATGACAGTTTGCTCCTTCACATTGCCAATGGTAATGGCTTCTTTATGAGGTGATTTCACCGGTGACGTCTCCATACTAGTCACACTCAGTGATAACTGTATAGCTCTCTTCATTGCATCCGACTGGAGGATTTCTTTCTCATTTTCTTTACTTGAGGCAGCCGCAGTCTTTCCCGGGCTACCATGGAACATGAAAGTGTATGCCCCATCGTCTAAATCACTGTCTTCAGCTGCTTCTTCAATTCCGCCACCTACACCACTCATCTCTTCGTAAAAATCATCGCCATCTTTTCCGCTCAAGCCAGGGCTCTCTCCTCCCTCTTCAAGTAGACGAGGATTAGAGCTGGAGCTTAAGTTTGTCTCAGAGTCTCTACCTCTTAGCAATGAGTCCTCATTCCCTGCTATCCCTGCTTCCGATATCTTCTTTATTCTGAGGTGAGTTCTTGAGGAGCTGCTCATGGTGGCGTGACGTATTGTGCTGTCCAATCTGGAGAGGTTTGGCTCTGAAGTTCCGTACTTTAATTGATAGAATGTTGCTATGGAGTTATTAATCTCTGACTCTGTGCTACGGACGAATGCTTTCTCTAACTGAATTGCCTAAAGAAAAGAAATAGAGAGAGAGAAAAGAGGGTAACAATCCTATCATAGTAAAAATTGAATGTGTGCAAAGGGGAATTATTTATTACGAAAATAGAAGGGAACACAAATGGGGAATAATACCTTATTTTGCTGTATGCCATTGTTATTGATGCAAAATAAACAGTCGAGTATACACAAACACCAAATGTTGTTCATACACACATCACGGACTTCAAATATGTAGGATGTACTTAGAAACAAGTACATCCATGCTTGTATGTATTAGGATAGTATGATTTATACACAAATTTTTATCAATTGTAGCACTTAAAACACAAGGCACTCATTATCAACACGCAATGATTATTTTCATAATAATCCCAGAACTGAATGTGTATAAGTATATATCAACATTAAATGAATTAACATTGTTAATGTTTCCGTTTGCTTTACTTTTGCTATGTCAAGTAGCCATTCGTTCCTCGTCTTGCTGTCATCGGCACACATTATGTACTCGGTACCAGATGAGCCACACGTGACTAGGAACTTGTGTCTCTTCTCTCCTTTTTCTTCTAAAACTTCAGTGTGGGTACTTTCATTTATTGCCAGACTACCCTAAAGAAAGAGAGAGAGGGGGGAGAGAGAGGGGGAGAGAGAGAGGGGGGGGAGAGAGAGGGGGGAAGGCGGAAAGAGAGAGGGTTTAGAGGGAGAGGCGGAAAGGAGAGAGTAAATAAGTGAAGCAAGATAAGAGAGAGACAAACAGAGATAGAGACATTACACATTGTGTGGCTTGTTTATAGTTTATAGTTATTAACACAAGTGAACTATATCATAATAATAAATAATAATAATAATGAATAATAATAATAAGAGTATTGTTTAAAGAATGCAGCCATTATGTTGTAGTATGTTAAATCACTATTACCCAGTATGACATGGTGTGTAACGCAAGACAATGCTAAAAACAGAAACCAGTCAATGGCTGACCTCTTTATAACAACTAACCTCCTGACATACCTCCCACAATTACCCAACACTATTAATGGCATTTCTATCATTGTACAATTGTGTAAACCACAAAATAATGTCATATATGCACAATTCATTATCAAATAATGCACATAGCATGTACATGCAATATAAGGCAGAGCTTATCTAACCAATAACAGACCATGCATGCACTGATCTGTGTATTTTGTACTCAATATTATGATGACATAATAGACATGCAGTACTGATGAAACATCATTATTTACACGAGTATGTACTAACTTTCACAATCATCTTTTCTCTTGATTCGTAGTACGTGAGTGAGTTTCTCGTCAAAATAAAGAACCTTCTCTTCCAGTTCTTGACCTGGTGACCTTTCTTGAACAGGTAGCCTTTCCTAAGTACGCCATTGACCACTTCATCCTTCATATCAACAATGATCTCAGATATTACACGAGAGTCTACATAAATGCTTGAGAAGCAGTCGACCAGCGTGCTGAGAAACTTGATGAAGTCGAGGTTAGTGTGGTTTCCCTGCTGGAAGGACTCGTTCCAGGTGAACCCGGCCTTGGCGACAAACATTCTCAAGATATCGTTGAGTATATCAGGATCAAGGAGAGTGCTAAGGGTGGAGAGATGGGAGCAGAATATGAGCCATAAGTTATAGAGGTCTGTCTGGGAGAACCATTTAGGGTAAGCAATTTCGGCCTTAAAGTACTAAATAAGGAGAGAGAGAGAGAGAGAGAGAGAGAGAGCAGAATGATAAAAGGATATAATGATGAAGTAATAAGTAATACAATTATAAGTATACAATGATAATTTTGATGCGCATAAATGTATGGGATATTTTATTCATAGGAGTAAAGAGGGAGATCTTTAGAAAGCACATTATTCAATTATTTTTGATTCTTATCAAATTAATAATTACTTCAGAGTAATACTCCCAACAGAGCGACTGTAATTTTGACTGATCGAACTCAGTATCCATCAGCGTTATGATACTCTGACAAACGACTGCCGTGAATTCCTCAAACGAAGACACGCCCTCGTAGAAATTGAGTACCTCGAGACTCGGCACAAGTTCTGTGACTGGTAAGCTTGCTACTGGCTGCTTCTTCTTTTTAGTAACAGGTTTCTTGTGTCTGTATAAAGAGAGGAGGAGAGAAGGAGAGGGTGATAAGTGTTTAAGTAGGTATAGGACATGTTTAAATTGTTAACACAAAATCAACAGTAGGTTACATTATGACATGTTCTTGCTTAGTGGTGTCATTAAGATTATTGTGCATGAGCAAGAGTGTATAAATGAGTGAAAGCAAGGGCTGAGCAATGAAAGGAATGAGCCTTGAGTAACTTAAAAGGAAGAAAACACTGAGTAGAAATACTAATCCTCTCACAAACACTACAGTACAGCATAGATTGTATATGTGAAAGTTGCTGCTTTAGTAATACTGGTAATAGCACAACCAATGCCTGATTAAACCAACTAACAACTCCTACATAAAGTGCCTTAATCTAAGCGAAAATAAACAAGTACATATACAAGTACATATACAAGTACAAACATGGAGAAAAGTGACTTTCCCCTGGCTGGGCACTTAATTTTTCATTTACTAACGTATTCAATGCAGTGAGTAATTCCTGACAAAACTGCTCTATACGGTGAGATCCAGAGGGTAGCTTTACACTGCTACGTGGAGCTAGTATCATGGCTGCATGCAGGATAGTATGTTTTGTTAGCTCTGTCACTTGGTCGCCGACAAGTCGGGCAGGAGAAAGCGTCGAAGAGCCACGGCCTTCAACAGAGCCTTCAAGTTGCTCCTCACCTGCAAGTACAGGGAGAAAAGAGTGAGGCTTTGAGGCAGTTTTTAAGTTACTTACTAGTCGAAGAGGACATCTTATCTCCTTCCTAAATTGCAGTCTCCTGTTTTTTAGCTGTCCTTCCCACTTTGGTGGAATGTAGAAAGATGGGATGGGCTTGTTATTTATGGCCCACCAACGCCCACTCAATTTGCACTTTGAAATAAACACAACAAGCAAATGCTCTTTAGGGCGTTTCACTTCTCTTCTTTGCATTTGCTTTTGTATACATAATTGTTGTTGCCTGAATCTTGCATTGAAAAGAGAAACTATTAGCTTAGATTTAGCTGGACTTTTCTAATCCATTTCATCATGGCTACAGTCCGGATTAAGCAGCTGCAAGATGATTTGGAAGCAGTTCAAAAGAAAACATTCACCAAATGGATAAACTCCCATTTATCTAAAGTAAGCAAATAGATCTACTGCAGGCCCTGGGTCTGTTTACGGTTAATTTCGCATGCTCTAATTGCAAATTGTAGGTTGGGCTCCACGTGAATGATCTTTTCAAAGATCTTTGTGATGGTAGAGCTCTAATAAGACTCCTCGAAAGGCTCTCCGGGGAAGATCTGGGACCAGTCGGTCGAGGGAGACTAAGGATCAACCAGATAGAGAACGTTGGTAAAGCTCTGGCGTTTCTTCAGAAGAAAAATGTAAGAGAGAAAACACCAGTATGCTGTGAAGGCAATGATTTTGTATTATACTTAGCCTGACTAATATTAATTAAAAATAATAATAATTATATCTCATAATTTTGTTTCTTTTTTTGGTCCAATAGGTAAGTTTGCCGTCTACTGGAGCAGCTGATATTGTTGATGGGAACCCTCGTCTGACCCTGGGTCTGGTTTGGACCATTATTTTGAGATTTCAAATTCAAAGCATTCAACTAGACGTAAGCAGTAAATCAATAGTATTTCATTTAATGCTATCGCTATGTGTCCTATAGGACTCAAGTGACATCAAGTCGGCTAAAGAGGCACTATTGCTCTGGTGCCAAAGAAAAACGTCAGGGTAAGGACCCATTTGTTGATTGAAAGTTGGTGTGTCATTTTAATCAGCTCTAATAGCTGCAGACTATTATTTATAATTTATTCATAGTTATCCCGGTGTTGATGTTCAAAACTTTACCACCAGTTGGAAGGACGGCTTAGCTTTTAATGCTCTTATCCACAAGCACAGGTAATGAGCTAAGCCTCTGTAGTGTTGTCCTTATACATTATTGGTATGCAGACCTGATCTTGTGGACTATCCTTCTTTGAGCTCCAAGAACCCCATAGCAACTCTGAACAATGCTTTTGAGGTTGCCGAAAAACAGCTTGGTATACCACGTCTTCTAGACCCAGAAGGTACATATGGATTGATAATAGTGCAGCATAGCTGTGTAGTGACACAGAACCACTATTCTATTCTTAATGATAATGCAATGTCTCCTCTTCTTTTTATAGACTTGATGGTACCTTATCTCGACGAGAAGTCAATAATGACATACCTTGTGTCTTATTATCATTATTTCTCAAGACTCAAAGCA